ATACATACAGACCCCAGTCTGTAATGATCTGATATATTTACTGGTTTACTTGCTTAATGTCCATCTCCTACATGCAAGTTTTATGGGGTAGGAACTTATCTGTTCTCATTACTCCACACAGTGAGCACACCCACATGGAATGTGTACTTGGTGAACAGACACCTGAGTAAATTTTGGCTGGCTCCCTTTCTTGGGGACCCTGATGGTGATCTGTGTGCTCTAAGATACTCTGTGTGCTCTAAGAGTATCTATCAGCAATTGGGAGGCATCCCAGTGAGCCCACAGTGACTTCCAGTTCCTCTTCCCACATTTTTTAGGATATTGAAGAAATAAAATGCAGTTTCTTCCCTTGCAATGGGCTTTCAGGATAGTAGAAACTACCTTCTGTGCTAATAGCTATGCATAGCTCCTCCTTTGGGAAGCTCTTCAGGCTGGCAGAGGGGCCCACATATATCTGTTTCCATGGCACTTTATTGAGGTGTAATTTACTTTGGATTATATTCACTTATGTAAGTGTACAGTTTGATGGTTTTGACAAATGTGAGGCCTCATGTAAACACTCCAAACAGTTTCCTTGTACTTTGGCTGCTTAAAAAACAAAGTTATGGTAAAATGCCTCTAGGATGAAATTCACCATCTCAACTATCTTTAAGTGTGCAGTTCAATGGCATGAAGTACATTTTCACTGTTGTGCCACCATCACCATTGTTCATTATAAGGATTCTTGCAAAACTGAGCTTTTTTACCCACTAAGCTATAACTTCCCTCCGTCCCTGCATTCTGCCCACCTGCATTCTGTGTCTATAAATTTGACTTTTGGCTCTTTAAAAAAATTGTGGTAAGACAATGAGATACCACCTCACCCCAGTGAGAATGGCACATCTTCAAACAACTAGCAACAACAAATGTTGGTGAGGATGTGGAGAAAAAGGATCTCTCCTGCACTGCTGGTGGGAATGCAAACTTGGAAATTTTGGAAAACTGTTTGGAGGTTCCTCAAACTGCTTAACATGGAGCTTCCCTACAACCCAGCAATCCCACTCCTAGGTAACTACCCAGAAGACACAAAAACACTGATTCAAAAAGATACCTGCACCCCCATGTTTATTGCTGCTTTATTTACAATTGGAAAAACATGGAAGCAGCCCAAATGCCCAAAAGTAGATGACTGTATTAAAAAGATGTGGTACATATATACAATGGAATATTACTCAGCAACCAAAAAAAAGAAACACATGTCTTTTGCAGCAACTTGGATGGAGCTGGAAAAGATCATGCTTAGTGAGATAAGCCAGAAAGAAAAAGAAAAATACTGGACGGTTTTGCTCGTAGCAGGAGTATAATGGACCAGGCGAGAAAATAATAATAATAATGAACAGTCATAGACCACAGACATTTTGTGGGGGTGGAGTGGGGAATGGGATCAAAAACGGGGGAGGAAGGGAAGTGCATGGGACTATGGTGATGGCACCCAGGTGACTCGGTGATGGGAAACCCACGGGGATTACAATTGAGATGAAAAAAAAAAGTACAAAATGATGTAAAAATAAACTATTATATATAAAAAAAAATTGTGATAAGAACTAATACCCTGGTAACACAGGGTATTAGTGCACAGCACTGTGAAGCTGTCCATAACCATTGTGGCACGAGTTTGATCCCTTATCAGGGAGGTGACCCACATGGCACAGCAGACCTCTCCTGTCTCGCCCACTACTCCCCTCAGCAGTGTATTTCAGTTGATTCCCCATTCTATTCCCTACTCTGTCTCTGGCGAATCCTCTCGCTTCCTGCACTTCTGTTTTTTAAAAAAGAAACATAAAATATACCACCTTAACTACTTTAAAATGTACAATTTAATTGTGTTAAAATAATGACTTCTTACGCTATGTTGAGATTTAGCTATAGATGCAGACACTCCAAGTAATAGTAGCCCAAATAAGGCTAGTCCATGGCTGCTGTGACAACTCTACCATCCCTAGGAATCCAGGCTGTTATTTATGCTGTCAGCTGCAACACGTGACTTCCATCTTATGACCCAAAGTGGCTGCTCCAGTTCTAGCCATCAGTGCCATCTTCCAGTCAGCACGAAGACAAGTGGGGGAGAAAGGCATGTCCCCTTTAAGAATGTGTCATAAAGATTACATGTATTATTTTGTGCTTTTGTTCCATTGGGCAGAACTTGGCCACATAAATGAATCTTGCTGCAAAGGAGCTGGTAAATGTATTCTTTATTCTGGACTACATGTCCCCATTCGAATTTGTGGATCATGTTGCTGGGAACTCCCAGCAGTGTCTGCACAGCTTCCCTTCCTCAGTATTGATCAGTGTGTTGAAATTTCTTGCTTCTTACTGGAGGGTGGACCCTTCCTCCAGGGGCCGTGTCTCTAACTGTAGCACAGAGTGGGTGCTTTGTGTTTGCTGTGCAAGTAATGATTCTAGCCAAGCCATCTTATTTTAAAAATTATAGAAGTGAAGCACTGAAGGGCAGAGTGACTAGAGTCCTCTAGGTGAGACTCTCACACACTTCAGGAAGCTGCCGTACAGTAGTCTGGGTTGGGGGATGGGAAGGGAATCTCCACTTACCACACTGCTGCCAGACACCCCCCACATCTGCTGCTGGGTAGCTCCAGCCTTCAGTCATCCCTTCTGGTCGTGGAGCCAAACTTGGCCTCCGTGGAACTTACCCTGTACGTCATGCCCCACGTCCGTATCTTCCCTGCCCCCACATCTTCATTTATCAGGCAGTGGTGCCTGCCCAGAGTCTTTGTGGGGGGACATTTGGAGTCTGGGTCTCCTGAGACCAACGATCCCTCCTTTGTCCTGAGTGCTCTTGGGTTGAGCAGGAGAAAGTTGATGACCCTTGCAAAGTGCAAGGCTCTACTGCAGCCCCAACATTTCCTCAGTGGTATGTGAGGAAGCGGATTACTCTTGACCTAGAAGCAATTTGCTTCTTTCATATGTGAAGACAAATGTGCCCTCCAGGACACAGAAGCTGCAGGCATGGGGGTGGCACCAGGCTGCGGAGGCTTGAGGTTGCTTGCCACGGGTCCTTGGCTGCTGTGGAGATGTATTGGTGTCCTCATGGTGATCCCCTTGCCATTTCCGAGATTTTGGGGGACACACTGTACTTGTGTATATATTCCTCTGACTCTGGGTGATCCAGTCAGAAACGGGTGGGAAGGGGATCTGTTGCTACTGAGCACAGATTCTACATCCTAAGCGGGACTGAGATGGTTGAGCTGAACATGGAGAGTGTTCTGGAGTGGGGAGGAGCTGATGGGGGGGGGGCATGTGGGTGGGTATAGGCCCTCGAGCTAGAGACCAGGCTACTAGGAGGCATAGCAGCCTCCCCAGGGCCCTCCCACCAGGTCAGGGAGGGCAGGTGCTGTCATGGCCTGCTGTGGGCCCCTGCAGCCCCAGCCCAAGCATGGTCTTTCTGGGCTGGACTGATAGTCCTGGATTTAAGTCATAGGGCTGTTTCTGTTCCCTTCTTTCCTGCCTTTCTGTTGTCCCTGGTCTTCTCCTGGCCTCTTTGACTTCTTACGCTAATGCCACTCTGGGCTTCAGGTGCTCCTTCCCAAGAGTGGCTACGGAGGTGGACACCACCTTCACCCTGGCATCCTTGGAGAGAGTGGCCATTAGTCTTCAGGAAAGACTTAGGATGTGACAGAGACCTCACAGGAAGCAGCACTTCCTGTCTTAGACTGGCCTGCAGTTGAGGCTTCACACTTGGCCTCCCATCTCCTCCCAGAAAGCCTTTTGGGTTTTAACTCTTTCTGCCCCGAGGGTGGCATTTGAACTCCTTTCCCCAACAAAGGCTCTTTCCATTTTCAGGGCACTTGCTGCTCTGAGCTGGGCAGAACAAGAGGAGCCTGTCTCTAGAGACCCCAGACTGGCCCACACAGGATGAGCAGGCCTCATGGATGGTGACATAGGCGCCTACCCCTGCCTTTGGGCTTCTCCTTCCCTCTTTGGGCATGGTCTCTGTCGGGGCTACTGCAGGCTGGATGGAGATGTCTGGAAGAGTGGGAACAAGTGGCATGAGTTTAGCAAATGATCAGAAAAAATCATCCCAGCCAGCACTAAATACCACATGAGCCAGCCTTCCCCCCGGATTCCCTGGCAAAACAGGGAACGCTGACTTGGGGTTGCTTCACTGCCAGCAGTAGAAGCCCGGACTACCCTAGGATCCTGACCTAGCCCACCAATGTCAGGCTTATCCACATTGTACTCACTGATTTTTTATAAAGATTTATTTATTTATACAAGAACTGGGGGTACAGGCCAGGGGTGAAGAGGATTCACCAGAGACAGAGTGGGGAGCAGAATGGGCAGAGGTACTGAAATATACTGCTGAGGGGAGCAGCGGGTGAGACAGGAGAGGTCTGCTATGCTGTGGGTCACCTCCCTGGCTGGGGATTGAACTTGTGCTGCAGTGGCTGCGATAGCTTCATAGTGCTGAGACTTAACCCCTGATGCCATCAGGGAGGCCCCTGTACTCACTGACTTTTAGGGGATGAGCATCAGGGTCCTCTCCCTACCCTCCAGTCCTTTATATGGTCACTGGATGTGAGGAGAGATGCTTGCACTCTGGCTCCTGGGCTCTCTCCGTGCTGTCCTGGCATTTGCATTTTGAGCTGGAGGGAGTTCAGAGGCCCCCTCTCTATAGCAGGTGCAACCTGAGGGGGAATTTCTGAAAACAGCTAGAACTAAGAAAATGCAGATTCCTATACCTGGGGGTGCTTATTAACATATTCAGGAGCAAGGGCTGTGTGGTCCTGGTGGTAGGTGAGTCAGCAGAGCTAGAACACTCATTTATTTGGGCAAATGTGTCAGAGTCATTCAGAGCCCAGAATGCAGCGGTAAACCCTAAGGGGCAGGCAGGGGTGAGTGAAGAGAGGAAGAGGGAGACTTGGCAGGTTGGCCTCCCTATGCCCAGCTAAGGGAGGGAGACAGACCTGGGGACAGACAGAGGAGCGGAGCAGAGACACCAGGAGGACAGATTCCAGAGGCTGATTTTTATTGTGCAGTTTTCTTCCTCGATGAGATGCCATAAGCTGTGTGGCACTACACGCAGTCACGGGGCGGGGCAGAGCCACTGGGCGGGGAGCTGGGTGCTGGGAAAAGCCGTCTCCCAAGGCAGGTCCCCCATACCTGTCACCCATGGCCTTGCCCCCCTGTGTCCCCCGGCCCTTGAGAAAGCAGGTCTGTGGGGTAGGGCTTGAGGGCTGAGATCCCAGCTCCAAACAGCTGACACTGTTGGGAGGCAGGGAAGGGCCTCTCCCTGAAACACTGGCCAAACTCTGGGTCTGGCTCCACCCGGCCTGACTTACTGCCTTCAGTCAGTTCCCAGAGCTTTTAGAAGCTCGGACAGCCTGGGTGGGGAGGGGGCTTGACCTACTCTGTCCTCCTCTCAACTGCTGGTTGAGCTAGTGTGGGACAGTAGGGGGGCGTGCTGACTCCCACTTGTAGCCCCTTTCCAGTCCTCCATTAGCACTAGAGTCTGTGTTTTCACTGGACTGGGCCCCTGACCCAAGGTCTCCAGGGGACCCTGCAGTGGTAACGGGACAGCTTTTGGCTGGGGCTGAGAATGCTCTAGAGATGCTCAGTTCCCTCCTTACACGATGGCCATAGATGCTTGATGGGACCCTTATATCTGGGTCTTCAGCACCACTCCCACCTGCTGAGGGATGTGCTGTGCTCAGACACCTCCACCTCCCTCTTCATCTAGGTCTGTCCTTTATCTGGTCCTGGTGGGCAAGGATGACCCTCCAGGACTGGTACCCCTTCACTCTACTATCCCTTCCATGCCCTTACTCTCCATCAGTTCCCCGACCCTGGCTTCCCTTTTCACAAACTCCCAAAGAAAGGAAGGATAACCCCTAAATAAACCATATAGAAGCAGCTCTGGAACAGTACAAAAAGACAGCCAGTGGCGTGCGGAGAAGGTGGGAGGTGGTAGTGGGGTTGGCAAGGGGGTGTGGGTGGATAATGGCATGCAACACCGGGATTCCTTATGAGGGCCAGGGTCCCCAGGTCTCCCGGAAGTGTGTGAAGGATTGGGGGAAGGGGGTCAACTGACTCAGAGAAGTAGGATCTCTGGACTGGGCCATGCGGCTTCCCGTGTCCTCCGTGGGCCCAGCCAGTCACAGGGAGATGAAATCCATGGCATGCAGAAGGGGCAAGGAGAACAGGAACAGCAGCAGCCACGAGGTGTTCTGGGCCAGCAGGCTTATGCCCTTGCACTTGACCAGTTTGTCTGAGGAGAGAAAATGGGGGAAGGGCAAGAACGAAAGGGAACACACTCAGGCAGGGGACTTCCTCCGGGCAGTCAGGTGCCATGATGTATTAGCTGGAACCTGATCCAATAAAACTATCCCCCCCGCCCCCCCCATTTACAGGTGACTGAGCCCTTGAACCTGTGACATCTTTACTAAGCATCAGCACTGGAAAACTAGGTGAGGTAGCTAGTGCCATGTTTGTCGTCTTGGGGGTGAGAAGGAGGTGAGAAGGAGGGCCAGGGAGGCCAAGTGGTTGCCCGTCATCATGGTTCTACCACTCTGTTCCCCTTTTCTCTTCCCCAAGAAGAGGCAGTGGTTCCAGGGCACCCAGCTGCAGCTGGGGGAAGGATGATGTCAGGAGCCCAGCCCAGGGGTCTGCCTGCTGCCTTTGTCCTCCCAGCCTGCCTCTCAAGCCCACTGGGCCTTGTTGGGGACTGGCCTTACCTCTGAGCACTGAGACATTCCTGTTGGAGATGGTGAGAGGCTGGCCAGAGAGGCGGAGTTCGCACGTATAGGTCCCCTCGTCCTTGTTGGTAAAGCCGTTCAAGTAGAGGACCTTGATGTTGTACTTGCTGGTGAAGTTAGTTCGGGAGCGGTACGCATGCTCAGGCACCCCCACTGTGCCAAACAGCACGTGCTTCTTTGTCTCCCGGGTCATGCTGAACTCGTATAGGATGGGCAAGTTGGTTGTATTATCATGGCGGCAGTCCAGACGAAGGCTCTGGTTCACCAGGCAGGCCGTCAGGCTGGTTACCTTCTGCCCACAGGCCACCTGCAAGACTGGCACCAGCCGTGCCCCCTCCAAGTTGGGGGTCTTGCAGGAAAGGGAACTCCCACCCACATTAACACTAGAAGAGGGCCTGGCCAGGGAGGGCACCAGTGTTAGCCTTCTGAGCACCTTTCCCCACTCTGGAGTTCCCTGAGGGTCAGTGCCACTGGCCTGCAGCAGACCCTAGCTTCCCTTTCTTATCTGCTCTAATCCTGGGTCCCACCAAGCTGTTCCAGGGCAAGGGATCCTGGGCTGGGAAGTTGATGCAGTTTCCTGGATTCTATTGAAGATTCCAATTCAGTCATATGAGGCAGGCTCAGTGAGATGTTCCTAAAATCACTTTGGGCAGGCAGAAGACCCATCACATTGATTAGCTGATTTAGGGGTGAGGGAGGGTCCTGTGCCTTAGTCATGTCTACCCCATGAAGTTTATGAGAGAAGCTAGCCAGGGTGTTTGGGATCCCAGCCCTGCCCCTTGCCCAGTACCTGTCAGCAGGAGAACAATGCCAATGGTGGGGTTCATGGTGTCCAGTGCTTAGTCCAGGATCTAGGGTGGGAACAGGATTTACAAATCAGACAAGAAATGGGCCACATGCGCCTGCACTTATGCCAGAGCTAGGGCCCCTGGTGGACATGCCATAGTGGCATGGTGGGGAGCCAAACTCCTCTCTACACTTCTTCCCTTTTTTTTCTTCCTTTTTCTTTTTACCTTTTGACCATCTGTATCCACCCTCCATGACTGGCAACCACTAATCTGTTCTCTGTGAGTTCAGTTTGATTTCTGCATTCCACACATAAATGTGATTGCACAATATTTTATTTCTGACTTATTTCACTTAGCATAATGCTGTCAAAGTCCCTCTACATTTTTGCAAATGGCAGAATTTCATTTTCACGGCTGAATAATATTCCATTACAAATGTAGTCACATGTTACTTACTGGCTTTTTGGGAAGTGAGTAGAATAGAATGTTGGCCCCAATAGACTATACCATGTGGCCATTGTGGGCTGTGGGCTGTGGGCTGTCATCTAGGTTGATGTGAGTACACTCTCTGGTGTTCACACAATGTCAAAACCATCTAGTGATACATCTTTCAATGTTTTACTGCTGAGAAGGAACATCAATAGGGTGTGCATATGTGTGTATGTATGTGTGTGTGTGTGTGAGTGGTGACTTTGAATTAATGACTTTTTCCTTACCCTTCCCATTTCCTTTCAGGAAGTCAAGGATTTCTTTTTTACTACTTGTGATAAACTACACATAACAGAAGACATACAACCAACCATTTATAAGTGTGCACTTCAGCAGTGTAAAGCACAGTCACCTCGTGCAAACCATCGCCAGCACTCTTCTTTCTTGCAGAACTAAAATTCTGTCCCAACAACAAAACTCCCCATTCAGAGACTTACTATTTTTTTTTTTGAGAGGAAAACTGGCCATACCCAAAGAATTCCTGGCATATCACAGAGGCTCCCGAGATCCTCTGTAAATGAATGAATGAATCTCTGAATACCCATAGGTTGCAGTCAGAATTAAGAGAAAAGACAGCCACCTATCACTGTGGTTGTCCCTTTTCTTAGTTGACTCAGTACGGTGAGGGGTCATGTCTAGTATGTGGGAGGCAAGGGAATTGTACTTGGCACACCGCTAGGGGTATTTCTGGATGTGTGTGGCAGAAAGTGATGGTGATCTCCACTTTCTTATGCTCTGATTGCACAGGAGCCAAGGATGCTTTCACTGTTCCAGGACTTGGAGTTTTCCAGTCCAGCATCAGTAGCTTCCCGTCTGGGCAATAAACTTTGCCTTTTTTTGTTCTTTTGCTTCAGCCTCCACTGGTCCAACATGCTGGCGAGGCAACATGGAGCAGGTTGCTTAGCCTGTCCTCGCCTGTGTTCCTCGCCAGGGAGGGGCCACTGGAGGGGTGTGTACCCAAAAGTGTCCAGGATCCCCAGGGCTTAGCCCCGCTTCCGGGTCAGATGGGACTCCGGGAGGCTGAGGCTACAGTCCTATCTCCTCTGTCCCTAGCTGAAAGGTACCCAGAGGTGCTGTTGGGATGCTGTGGTGTCATGTGGCTTTGATCCCAGACAGATGTTGAGTTATGGAGGAGGGGTGCCAGGTTGTGGAACCGGCAGCTGTAACTCCAAAGGAAAGAAAGAAGTCTGGACTAGAGAGGGAGGTCGAGGCAAGGAGAGGGGGAGGGAAAGCAGTGGGGAGGCAGCCTGTAGAGGTCCGCTACCGTGTCTGCTACCCGAGTCTCCTCCCCTAAGCCCGGAGCCCAGGGAAGCTCTGCCCTTCTTCCTTTCCAGCAGCCGTTGGCTAGCCCCACCCTTATTCCGTTTCCATATTTCATTCGTCGTTCTTCCCAGTCCTTCCGAGAAGGGTCCCCCTTCCCCCTCTCACCCTTTTTCAGTTCTCCCCTCCCCCGTATGCACGCCTAATTCCCAGTCCCCGCCTGCAGCACTGCGGTTTCCCTCTCCTATGATGCCCAGCTGCCAGCCTGCCGCGAGGTCGCAGGGCAGAGAGATTCCCTCCGGCTTGCGGTCCTCCCTTCTCTCCAGTCCCCCCCGCACCCCTCCACCCCATTTCACTGCTCCGGCTTTTTGGTAGCTGGGTTTGGGGGTGGCTCTAGGTAAAGAGCATAACCCAAGGCTGTCCTTGGCGCCCTTCCTCCCGGTTCTTCTTCAGCACTCCGGCCCAGACAACGGTCCCCCAGCGGACGAAAGTGGGGGTGCGCCTCTCCGGAAAAGCGGGGATCAGCGTTGCCCTTGGCTTGCAGCACTTGGCATCTGACTCCCGCCCTTGCAAGGAAGCGGACCCCTCCCCACCGCGCGGCACAGCCCGCCTCTTTCCCAGGACGCCCGCGACCAAATGCCTGAAGCCTTGGGGTTGCAGGGCTTGCAAGGGCACCGGGGGCTGTTCCTGCGTCCCGGCCTCCCCCCGATTCCAGCTCCCACCTGGGATCCTGTCCTCTGCCGTTGCTCCCTCCGGATGCGCAGCCGCCTCCAGTTGCAGCACCCAGCCGGTGCCCGCAGTTTTTAACCAGGGGTGGGGTGGGGGGGGGGGAAGAGAAGAAGAGTGGGGAGGGGCCCGGGGGCTCAGCCAATCAGAGGCTCGAGGGGAGCGAGAAAGGAACGCAGAGGGAGCTGGAGGCAGTCAGCATTGGTTTGGGAGCGTGGCCCGCTGCCCCCCAAAGGGAACCTCACCCTGTAGCTGGCAGTGCGAGCCCTGAGATGGAGGGCTCAGACCCCCTGGAATGAGGGTGGGGCAGCTCAGGGAACACTAGCCTCCTCCCAGAGCCCCACTAGGACTGCTTCTGCTTGGCTTTAAGGCTTTAATCCTTTCTTTTGACCTAGTCATCTGAAGTCTGTGGGAAGACCAAAGAGTAGCATATGCAGGCCAGCCACTGCCCCCCTTGGACAGTGTCCAGGCTTCCTTGCTTCCCTTTCTGCTGGAGCCCAACTCCCCAGAGCCTTCAGTAAGAGGGTTTGGAGTTGGAGTGTTCCAGGCTTTCTCCAAAGGAAGGCACTGGGGTGTTTTTCCTTACTGGGCTGTCCTTCAACAGCAAGCCGGCAGTGCACCGGGCCTTCTCAGCCCCCAGCCTTGCACTCCTCTGTCTGCCATAGAACACCCAGGTCTTCAGGAGTTTCTGCTCTGGGGCCCTCAGCTTCTGGCTGGCACACCTCTGCAGGTCAGGGTACTGGAAGGTTCTTCTGTTTCATGTACTCCTGCTGCTCACCCTGCCCCAGTCTCAGTACTGTCTGCTCCCCATCTTCAGGCCAGGATGGGAGTGCTGCTCTCTGCCAAGCACTGTGCCAGGTACAGTACCACATCTGCTGACCTCAGCCACCCCATTCCCTACCCCATCCGGAGCTGCCCGGTTGGCCTTGGGGGAGGAACCGGACCCCAGGTCCTCAGTGTGGAGCCACTCCAGTGCCGTGTCCCAGCCCAGTGGGATGGAAAGTTCTGGAACTGTGGATAGGGGAGGGGATAGGACCAACTAGCAGGGAATAGCAGAAACCAAGCTTTTAATCCCCTGGGCACCTGTCCTGGCCCCATCAATTTGATGTTATCAGAACCCCATGGTCTTTTAAAGTCAGTGCAGAGGACAAGTCTCTTCTGCCCACAGGTGAGGTGAATGTTTTGAACAAAGGTTTGCTTGATTGATCTGCATTCTTGTGGCCTCTTTGTGAATTCTGGCTGGGACATCCTGTGGGCTGGCCTCCCTGCTGTCATCTGCCTGCCCATTCTCCTATTTCTTCATAGAAGTCAGCCCTGGCACCTTTACTGCAGTTTCCATTACCGTCCTGTCACTGCTGGAAGCCACCCCTGGGCTGGCAAGTGGGAGCTCCTCCTCCTGTCTCTGCCTTGGAAGTTAGGTGGCTGCCCAACTAAAGTGAGGAACTTTCTAAATGGAACGAGCCCCAAGGGTGGTGAGTCCAAGAGCTGTTCATTCTGGTAAACAACAGATGCTTCTGAGCACTGAGGGAAAATGTAGCACCACTGTGCACATGCCTGGGATCTCCCTGCGAGTAGTTGAGCTGCCTGAGTCAGCACTTTTCACAGTGCCCCCCACCACCACCCGCAGGGCCTGGGTCTGTCTGGTCAGACCATCCCTTTTCCTCCTCCAGGTAACCTGGCTTCCCATTGTCCATAGGGTAATTTTTAAGGCTCTGAAGTCCTGGCCCTGGGCTGACCTCTGCCATCTCTTCATTTTTCCCAGTCACCTTCCTGCTGTGTTTCAGCCTTGCTGGCTCCTCCCAGTGGCTCCATGCAGTGTGCTCCTTCCTGCCAAACAGCTGATTCTCAGCCCAGGGATCTTTCCTATCAGAGCATTTGCTTTGTATTGAGTCCTAACCCTCCTCCACTTCCTTTGCTCTTTCCGCTCTCTGTCTGTCACATACTCATGTACACGGATAGGGATGGAGATGATGACTCTTCTTCTTTTTTTTTGCAGCACATGGGGCTTTCCAGAACCCCTTAACTACAGAGGCTACTTGGACTCTGGGAGAGACACTAGAGCCCCTGCTTCCCCTCAGTCTCTGCGTGCAGCTGGGCAGGCAGAATGCCTCACTGTGCTATTTTGATAAGGTTAAAAGGACCTGGCCTACTTTCTGGGTCCCCAAGCACCTTACTTCAGGAAGGGAGGGGACTGTGGACTCTGGAGCGTGTGGCAATCAAGTGTCTGTTGAAATAAGGTCCCTGGCTGGCTGGAGGTAGTGGCTTCAAATGAGCTGATATGGGGCCTGAGGTAGAATACAAGGTGACAAAGGGGAGATTTAAAATCCCCATTTACTGATGGGATGGATCAGAGTGCTGACAGCAGGAAGGGTTTCGAGGAATCCACGTAAGCAAGATTCCCTGACAGATTGGCTGCCTGTTGGTGCCTTGGATCTTTCTCCTTCCATCATCTCCACTTGCCTGATAGAAACTCTAAAATGCATGTTCCTAGGGGACAACCAGATGGTCACACTTCAGAATCACTGATTTCACCAGGTGGTTTTAAGAGAACCACAGAGGTGGCAGAAGCTGACCCTTCATTTTAGAGCTGGAAACTGAGGCCTCAGGAGGTTAATGATTTGTCAAAGGACTGGCGGCATCCCAGGTCTGGCACCATGTGTAATGTTCTCCACTGTGCATGGTGTGGGTCTTCAGATCACTGCTAGGCAGACGGCACCAGTCCATGGGGAAATAAGAGGACCATGTGGGAGACTGAACATAGCTGTCAGAGGGCCACCTTGCTTTGACCACTTCTTTACTCTGTACTGAGGGAGGGATTCCCACCCTTTCTGCACCAGAGGGTTATGAGGATGGCTGGTCACAGGGCACCTGACACTGATAAGTCTGGTTAGTGACAATGACAGCAGTCATTGTTAGTCACATAATCACAACCCAGAGGACACCATACACCAAGCACTGCCACACAGGTGTTGCTCTTGGGAACAGAGTGAACCACTTAGCCGTGGGAGGCAGGCTTTGGGGTAGCAAAAGAGAGGGTTGCAACTGGTTCCAGCAGGAGCATGTGACTGGCTTGTTTGAATAATGCTGAAGGCTGGTAGGGAACTGCTCAGGGATAAGCAGGAACTCTACTGGATCCTGCGTGAAAGGGTTCTTGGACCCACTTCTAACATGGTTGTGTGTGATGGCTTCTCCATACTTCAAACACTCTTGACCACCAGCAGGATGTCTGAAAATTCAGCTCAGTTCAACCCATTTCTGATATGAACTATTGAGAGAGAATCAGATTCCACAGGTAAGGGCTTAGTCTCCTAAGACAGCCCTTTATTTCAGATGCCATCCGAAAGTCCAGGCTGTAACCTGCGCTTCTGACCAACCACTTACAATCTGGAGGTGCCCAAGACTACTACCTCAGATTGAATTACCTAGAGCTGTTCACAGAACTCAAAAAGCTGTCTACTCACTAGGTAACCCCTTTATTACAGAGCATATTACTCAGAAATAGCCAGTTGGAATTGCATAGGGAGAGGTGTGGAGAAGGGCAGGAGCTTCCTTTCCTTTCCAGGTGCATCATTTTCCTCAAATCGCCATGTGTTCACTAACTTGGATGCTCTGCTCTTGGTCTTTATGGAGATGTCACTACAGAGGCATGATTAATTAGATCATTGGCACTTGAGCTCAGTCTCTAGCCTCTTTCCCTCCCCTGGAGGTCAGGGGGTAGGACTGGAAGGTATCGCCCTCTAATCACATGGCTGGTTTCCCTGATACCCAGCCCGCCTCTTTGGGTGCTTCTGAAGTCACTTCATTCATAGAACGAAAGTCACCTTTACCTCTCTCAACACTTAGGAAGTTCCAAGGGTTTGGGGACCTGTGAGACAGAACTGTGGATGAAGACCAAACATATATGAGGAATTGGCTAGTAGAAATTATAAACAGAAGCTGATAGGCGGAAAGTGAACTTATTAGAAGGCCACTCGAGGCCATCAAAAACAAGAGCAACAGGCCCAAAATGGAGTCACTTAGTCTAAGCCCTGTGTCACCAAACAAGACTCAAGTACCTGTTTGGCCTCCCCCAGGAATGGAATTTTAGGCCAATCAGCAGTTACTTGTGAGCACTAGAGAGATCAGCTGTTTATCCCTTCCCCTAAAGGAAAGTGGCCTTGCTATAGCCAGCTTACCGTATACTGTAACTGCCTTGTTCCTGCTTCCTTTCTGTTTATCAAAGTCTTTCATTTTGTGCAGCTCTGTGGAGCGCGCTCTCTGCTAGGTGGGAGGCTGGCAAATGTGTGAATTATTGAATAAAACCAATAGATCTTTAAAATTTACCAATTAAACATTGTGTTCTTAATAAGCCCCTCCCACTTTATCAGCTACCAAAACTTCACACTATTAGCTCTCCTATTGGGCTAATTGAGACTTTATGGCATGTGTCTATCTATCCTTCCTTGGGAAAGTATATGCTTCCAACCTAAGGTTATGCATTTCTGCCTTTGTGACATTGTGGTGGTAGATCGTGTGTGTGTTTTTAATGTCCTTATTCGGTAAGCAAAACTGGTAACTTCTGTCTGTCCTTACACTTCTTTGAAAATGTGGCTGATAGAAGAAATTCAAAATTCTTGGTATATTCTGTTACTTTTCCTATTCTCTAACTGAGGTGAACTTCTAGAGTAAGGTCAGTCCCTAAAAAACTGCATGTTTGGAGTGTATGATAAAAAAATATAAAGTTTATCTCAGAATGCAGGGCAGAGAGCAAGAGAAGAAAGCACCAGTGGAGATAAAGTTTCAACATTTATTTTTAAAACTTTGTTCATGGGGGCCTCCTTTGTGGTGCAAGGGGTTAAAATGCAGCACTGTGTGGACTCTCTGGTGGCAGCATTGTGTGGGCCCTCCCTGGTGGCGCAGCAGGTTTAAAGCACAGCACTAAGAGGCTAAAGCCACTTCAGCATGAGTTCGATCCCTGCCTGCCCCGGAGGTGACCCACATGGCGCGGCAGACCTCTCCTGACCCGCCTGCTGCTCCCCTCAGCAGTGTACTTCATCATCTTCGTCAGTCGCCCTGTTCTGCTCCCCGCTCGGTCTCTGGTGA